GGGTCATGACCTAACCACTTAGCCACCACCGCCTCGGTCACCGGCCTGACAAGTGACAGCAAGATCACCACTGTCGCCGGTTTGTTGCCGTGACTTTCAGTGTCTCCAACCATCCAGCTTTTTTATACACACCAGTGTGTGATGAACAGCCGACGGTGCGAAACCCTTAGTCGCGAAGACCTGCTGTTCAGTGATGGAAACACGCAACCGAATCCTCGGGATTTGGGGTGGCGAACCACATAAGGCCCCGATGGGTCAGGTGTGATATAGAACCGGGCGACAGCGAAACTGCCTACCACCAAAGTTGGGTGGCGGTGGCAGGGATCGAACATCAGACCACAGAGTCCATAGAACGCCGGTGACAGCGACCAAATTACTGCACCACCACCACCGGAGTCTTTTGGACCCCAACAGGACGAGGGACACCTACTCTACCAAATCGCTCTGTACATTTCCTCATGCATCGCCTTCACGTGGCCTGCTTCAGTCAGGAACGGCCACCACAAATAAGGCGCGATGTGGTAGGCGACCGTTAGACATACCCAAAACACTTTACTCATGACGAGAATTCCACAAGACTAACGCTGCGCAGAAATTGATCAAGGATACAAACGCTGTCAACTAGGGCATGAAAAGCTGTCTTACTCTCCATTCGAGTGAGTAATAGGTTCTACAAACCACGACTTTCCTTGCTGCGTGTTATGACTGTCCTCTGATTGGCCGCTTCCCCCTTCCTGAAATTTGCATCACTGCGTACTCAATGAAAGGAAGTAACAACGCAAGAGTGTAAGGGACCCGATTTAGCTATTTGATCACCTTTGCCTTTTTTCAACCACCTTTGAGTTGGCAAACATCAAGGGTGGTCAAACGAAGAACTGGCATGAGGGTATGAAAACCCCACCCAGGAGACTAGGTCACAGTGAGTGATATGGCTGGGTGTCGCAGTGGCGCTCGTGCATGCACTCATTCTCCTAACATCATTCCATATGAATTCTCCATCTTCCGCTTCAATTTGCCTTCAACATTCCAATCTTCATCTAGCGCGTTCATCTAAATGGAGCACCAAAAAACATCAACCAAGACCGGTGCACGGAAGTGCATGGTTAATGGTCGTGAAAACTGAACTGAACTGAATGGAAACCAGCTGAACTGTGCTTTAAGTTGCTCTGTTCATCGGACATGACAGCGCTTTTGAGCCATAGGATGCCGTAGTCACCTCACGGTTATTCTCCGCGGAGCGTTGATCTTAATTTGATGGAAAAGGATACGATCGTTTTTGGCAGACGTCTCTACCTCTCTACTATTTGATACCTATCACATCTCGGGGCTACCTATTGGACTCTTGATGAGATGTGGCAAGGATTTGAGCGTATATTTAATATCAAAAGGAATTGAGGGCGTTCAACAAAACCGATAAGGTTGAAGAGATTCATCATTCACTCATATTGTGCACCGCTTCGCCGTTAAAATAGCTTACTTTATTGGCTTCCAATTTTTGGTGGGTGAATTGAGGGGTGATGTGGGAGCTCCGCTTGAGATTTGATTTGCATATGACGCTTACACGGTACTGTGATAATCCAACAAACAAATTCTGCTGGGAAGTCTAACCATTAAGGAAAATAACGAGTCGAGTCCTTTGTTTAAACAATTGACCAACCGCGGAGCCTTAAGCAAGGTGAATTAGAAAGTGAACTTTTGATTTTTCCTCCATTGTTGTGCCAGCTAAGAGGCTGCCTCTAATCGAACCTCCAAATTAGTGGACCAATGGACTGAACATTATCTTTGTAAGCACATGCTCTACCAGCTGAGTTACGAGGCCACACCGATAGCACTGATCTTTTCACATTCGAATTTACCCATCCAACCTACAGAGGCATGTGGCATCCACCAGTTGGCATGTAAGCTGACTGCCCTGACAGGTTTTCCTAAGAATTACCGGAGTCCACCGAATGAGCTTCTGAGACAAGGACAATTGTTCAAATTGTTGTTTGGCAGATTTGAAGTTTGTATGTCGATTGTGAAAAGTTCAGTAGCCTCAGTGGATGGGTAAATTGGAATGTGAAAAGATCAGTGCTATCGGTGTGGCCTCGTAGCTCAGCTGGTAGAGCATGTGCGTACAAAGCGTAGGCGGCGTCCATGCGCGGGTTCGAATCCCACCGAGGCTACTGAACCTTTCACAATTGACTTACAAACTTCAAATCTGCCAAACAATTTGAACATTATCCGTCTTCCGTTACTTGACTTTACAGACATCATTAGATCTGTTGGCATGATAAAGCCATTCTATAAAGCTTGTCACAGGTGCAGCCGCCACTACACATCGTCAAAAATCGGTCTCATCGTGTGGGCTTCTTTCCAACCACGTTTGCGCATATTCTAACGACAAACAGCCTATAGTTCATGTTCACGCCGTTCCCTTTTCAACAAAGGACCGACAATCTGCAAGAGAAACAAAGAATGGAATGGTACAATGCATTTCCCTAATCGTTGGTGCAGCAAAAAACCGTGGTCGTTGTTTTTGAAAATTGCAGGTAAATGAGAGATCTAGAGGTTATTCACATAATGGGAAAGGAACAGATGTGATTGACTTATTCTCAAGTGAGACGTAAGCCGCATGTCATTTCATAGTTTACCTGGTATCCCCATCTGACTCGTGCAACGCGACGTAGATCGCGGTTCGAACATTGACAGTTTGTCTTTTTGTAAAGACCAAGTACCTGGGCCATATAGCAGCATAAACTTGACCCTTCACAGACAGCCGGACGTCACAACAGTTGACAAATGCTAAACGAGCCTTCTGCATGTGTGTCGATGCTTCACCCGTGATGCGTCCGCCCGGTGAGATTTAGCTAACAAGATTGCAAAATTAGACCACTTGCTCTAATACTTCTCCAGCTAGAGTCAGGCTGGGAGCTGGATCAGTTCCAGATTTTACAACCATGGACCATGCATCTCCATGCGCCGGTTTGGTCGCCCATTTCAATAAGAGTAGAAGGAAGTTTGGGGTGTTGAGAGCAGAGTGAAAGAGATAG